GATTAGAAGAGTGAAAAATATAAAGTCAATATGTTAAATAAAGATGAATGATATATCAATTAATGGACAGTATACCACATTACTTTGTATATTATATTTTGTATGCAAACATTGTAAGAGTAGTACTAGTATTTTTGGTGCTTGGCAAGCACCAACCCGTGATATTACTCAATGAATTTAGCCAAGGAAATCTTGTAATTCACAAAACATAATCTTCTGTAGTCTATTAAAATCCATGTACTGAGTCAAATCTTTTTATTAACAAAGCATAATCTTCTATGGCCAAAAATATTATGATTAACAAAGCATAATCTTCTCTAGTCTATCAAAATTCATGTACTTGGCCAAATCTTATGAGAGCATAATCTTTTATGATTTATCAAAAACCATTGACGTTGAACTTGTTTGTATGGATGAATGTTATGTTAAGAGATTTCACAATGGAAAACATCCACAATATATAGTCTATAAGAATTTAAAATCATAACAAAAAAAACACGATATTTAATATGGTTCGACATAATGCACTTACATATATGAATGAAAGAGAAATCAACTATAGTAATATTAACACGGATATGCAAGTGTTTACAACACCATATGCCTAGTATCTAATCTAGTACATAATTAATAGAGTAGAAACAAACTCAATTTCTATGCTCAGCTCATGAATTTTAATCAATCCTTTGCATTACATACTCTATGTAACTCATCATTTATTTCATAATCTTGAATTGATTCTCAAGCTTATATTTATATGTAATACATGAGATATTTTACTCTTTAATAGGATTTACATTCCTTTATAATTATATTCCTCTCTAAATTAATTTCCAAAAAAGATTACAATCTATCAAGGAAATATCTAAGAAATTACATTTTATCAAGGAAATATCTAAGAAAACGAGTCATATAGGAAACGTATGTGAAGCGAATAATATCCCAACGTATTGCACGCAATGAGACTTGTCAGTTTTCTTCACCTAACAAATTCATATAGGAAACGTAAGTTGACTTCAACCAGCCCAGAATTCACAACTTCAACATTCTCCACTGTGGTCTAATGTAATTATTAATTATGCCAAAGTTTACTCATCATTCAGACATGAGCTTCAGCGACTGCCAAAGTTTACTGTTTCCAGTCCAAATACCATAATGACCACTAAGAGCTAGTGAAATAATTTATTAGTAGCCCCATCTTCTATTTCAGCAATGGTAAATGGAATCTTAATTTATATTTAGTCATATATTTTAAAACCACGTTTATTTTCATTAATTGAAATTTATTCTAAAAAAAAAAAAAAAAAAAAAAAAAAATTAACCTCACCAAATCTAAAAAAAATCCATCAATTCAATAACTAAATAAATATTATATACAGAGGGAAGATTTATTTTAATTATATTATTCTATTTCAAATAAACAGTATTTAAAATATTCATTATCTTTAGAAGAAAATAACTTCTTTATAATTCATTGAAAGATAACAAATGAAGCATGAACAAAAAATATCCTCTAATTATTCATAAGGAGAGAATAATAAAAAGTTTGAGTCCACCAATAATTCATAAAATAATAAAAAATAAAAAAGTAATTTGATGAAATCCAAATCAACGCTTATCAAAATTTTTAATCGAAGTCCCAAAAATATTTTGTTTTTTTAACATCAAGCAACTGACAATAATATAACTGGTTCAGATTTTAAAAGAAAAAAGAATGCAGACATACACATTAGAGAAATTAGCCAAAAAACATCCATCGAAAAATAACTTCAATTGTAGAGTTAGAATTTAAAATATGCTTTAGAAAATTTTAATTTGAAGATAATTGGTTAATTTTGGCTAAAAGAAGCAAAAACAAAATATATTGAAGAGAGTTTGAAGTGGGATCATCCATTTGAATATACCATATGATTCTAATTTGATACATAACCTTGATATTCTTTATAATAAACCATTACCCATCATCTTTATAATATTCTCTGATCTACCAAGTTGAAATATTGGAGAGAATTAAATGTCAAGTTATTTGCAGTATAAAATATTGGAGAGAAAATGGGTAATGGGATGAGAGAGCTACTATCACCACTAACACCACTCAATGATATTTGTAACACATAAGTTCTAACAAGTTATACCGATGATGAAGAAATTCTCGAATCAGATCAATCTGAGGGTGATCAACTTCTAACAAGTTATATCAATGACGAAGAGATTTGGAAAATGAGCCATCAACACCACCACCAGACAATTTGATTAAACTTAACCGAAATTTTGGGGCCAAATAATATGACTCAATTCCTGGTTGAAAAATGGTTGAATGAAATCGGAATTTGGAAGTGATTGTTAGAAAGTCTTAAGGACTTTGAGAAAAGTCAGATCTTTATGGGAAGATGATGAGATGTTTTCAGTAATCTGACTGGAAGAGATACCTAATAGTTCAAGAGAAGTCAAATTTGCAGAGCATCAAGGCAAAAAATCCTCTAGATTAATATCATTGCATACAGCTCTGGCATATTCACCATCTCACATATACCTGGAATATATACATATGTCCTTTAATTATTACAACACCAAATTCATAATATATGTTTCAACAATAATTAATCAAATTCGTAAGCTTGGAATCAAATAAAATTTAAAATATATTTTTTGGGGGTATTATTTGTGTTCAAAATGAGGAATTACAATTAAATTACAAATCAGTGGATCCTAAAATACCTGTAATAATTTACCTGGAACATGTGAGGTGTCATTGAGTTCATATAACTCCATGTTCGAACAGTTGAGCGAAGTGAAAGCACCAATGCTTTGCAAAAGGCTTTTATGGAGAGCAGCCATCCAAGGTTAACTCTTTCAAAAATGGGAATGAGCAGCCAAGTGATTGTAAAAGAGTGTTTGTTGGTGCTTTTGATATACTAAACATAACTTGGCTGTTCATTCAATCGGCACACCTGTTGACATAAAGAAGTTTAATTTGCTCTGTTCTATGCCCCTTACTGAAATTCTGAGCAAATTTAAAGATTAGGGCAATAAAGAAAATCACAACAAACAACAACTAGGTTAGCTAGCAACAACAAAACATACCTCATAGAGATGTTTAGAGTTGGTTCATCTCATCACTGTGACCAAACCAATGCCCAATGCATTCTTCATTTGTAGCAGTTGCAACACCATGAACAATTAACACCAAATACAAACTATACTCATGTGAACATAACATAAACCAAATTTACCTCTCTCCGATGATAACCATTGCCGTGAGGCTCCAGATTCACTATGAATAATTCTTATCAAATTTCTTGACAATTGACTCTACATACCAGCTCATTGGATATAAATTGCAAAACAAAATGAAATAACATATATACATACATACAAATTCATCTAAAACAATGTCATTCCTAAAATGAAAATCCACACACTAGGCACATATAAATTTCAACAAAATCACTATTCCTTAAATAAAAATAATACAAAACCAAATGTTCTTATCCGCACACAGGGAAAAGATAATTTAAGCAAAATCATCCTCCCCTAGCAGAATAAAATGTCAAACATTCCCACAAATAAATTTCAACAAAGTTGCCACTTGTTAACAAAAACAAAGCTAAATCAAGCATTTACAGAATGAACAATCTGCACATGAGATATATAAATTTCACCAAATTAAACTATCATTCATCAACAAACAATATAAAATAAAACATTCTGAACATTAACAATCCACACACAACCGCATAAATAAATTTCAACAAAATTATCGCTTGTTAACAATGTGATGTTTTGGGAAAAGTTTTAGCAAAAACCTAAAAACGAGAAGAGACGAGAGAGAGAGCTGAATACTATGCTTTACTTTTACTGATGCCTTTCGGTTAATCAAAATGAGCTGGGTACCCCTATATTGTTTACATGAAAGTAGCAGGTGTTCTAACTAATACTGTTACTTCTAACTAAATTGTTACATTGTAACTGAAAGTAAAACAGAATTGTAACTAATATTTAACAACTAACAGTATTCCAAATGACATTTTACCCTTTCACTAACATCTTCCCTCAAACAAACTTGGGAGAATCAAGTGCTTCTTTACTAACATTTCCCTAAAACTGAGCCTGGGAATATTGAATCAGTTCTGCCCAAAGTTCAGCTTCAGTAGTCAAATAGAAAGCCCCCATCCGGCAGCAACTTCATGAACTTCAATCAATTTTCCAACTTCAACTTTACTAGCACAAAAACACTTACAGGCGCAACTTCATGAACTTCAATCAGTTTTCCAACTTCAACTTTAACTAGAAAAAAAACACCTTACAGGCATCAACTACATAACTTCAACCAATTTTCAACTTCAATCTTCAATTAGCACAAAAACACCTTACAGGCGCAACTTCATGAACTTCAACCATTTTCAACTTCAATCTTCAATTAGCACAAAAACACTTTACAGGCAGCAACTACATATACTCAACCAGTCACATCTCAATTTCAACTTAGCCATACAACTTAGCAGCAACTACATAAACTTCAATCAGTCAAATCTCAACTTCAACTATAGCCATACAACTTAAGATTGACAACAGATTAGAGACTCATCAGATCTCAATCAAAACTTAAACCATAAAACTTCAGCTTCAACTATACAACTTTCAACATAAAACTTCAACCATAAAGTTTCAACTTAGCCATACAACTTCAAAAAAAAACTTCAACCATAGAACTTCAACTTCAACCATACAATTTCAAATTTTCAACAGATCAGAATCTCACAGATCATATCCACCAGAAAATTCATAAAACAACTTCAACTATACAACTTCAGATGACAATCAGAACAGAAACACATCAGATCTCAACCATAAAAAAAGACAAAATTCAGTGCAATATACTGTACAGTTATGAAAACAGAGATCACAACTCTCAGGATGACAAATTCAAGCAGACAATTTATCCAGCCTTCTACAGACATCAACCTTCATTCTTTTCTCTGGTTGTTTGTTTTCAATACTTTCAATAGGTTCAGAGTTACTGCAATCATAAACATCAACAACAGTAGCTGCTGCAGTAGTAATTTTATCTGCCATTTGATCATTGTTGGCAGATTTAGTATTGTATTGTAGAATAACCAACTACTGTCAATTGTCCCGAAGAGCCTCAAATGGTAGTTGATAATCTTTGGTGAAAATGTCAGCCTTTTGGTAGTCAGTGGGTACATATTGAACTTTGATATGGTTGGCAGCAACTGCTCTCGAACATAGTGAGCATCCAATTCTATATGTTTAGTTCTTGCATGAAAAACTGGATTAGAGGCTAAGGATCAGCACTCTGATTATCACACCAAATGATGGGTGTAGTGTGAAGAATCAGTCCCATTTCAGAAAAAAGACTTCTGAACCAAGCTATTTCTGTGGCCCCTTATGCAAGAGCACGATATTCAGCTTCAGTGGAGGATAGAGCTACTACTCTTTGTTTCTTGAACTCCACTGAAGCAGATTTGGACCAAGGAATAAGCAGCAACCACTGTAATCTCCATCTTGGAACAACCTGCCCAGTCAGCATCGGAAAGCAGTCCAGGTGAAATCTGCCAATTTTTTGAAATATAACACTAAAGTCCATAGTTCCTTGATGTATCTAAGGAGTCTCTTGCAGGCCTGCCCGTGAAGCTGAGTAAGGGCCTTAAGAAACTGATTAGCTTATTTACTGAATAAGCAATGTCAGGTTGGTATGTCAATATTGCAGGGCCCCAATTGTACTTCTATACAAACCTGGGTTGTCAAAACTTCACTGTTCAAGAGTGAGTTTGTTGCTGCTGCCATAGGAGTTAACACTGTGTACAGTCCAGCCTTCCTGTTTTGACTAGGAGATCTCGAGCATATTTAGGTTGACTCATGTGAATGCTGGAGGCTGTTCTATGTTTCAAAACCTAGAAAGTACTTAAGAGACCCTAGAGTTTTCAATGCAAACTCAACTTTCAGTTTTTGAACCATGTTTTCAACAAACTCAGGATCATTCTGTTATTAGTATGTCATCACATAATAAACACAGCATACAATGTCTGACTATTCATATAAACAAACAGACTTGAGTCAGCTATGGAAGACACAAATCCCCATTTAAGAAAAGAGTTTTCAGTTTTTCAAACCAGGCTCTAGGGGCCTGTTTTAACCCATATAAAGTTAACTAGTTTGCAAACATGCAAGGGTTTTTGAGGATCAACAAATCCTGTAGGTTGAGTCATGTAGACTGTCTCACTTAATTCACCATTAAAAGCATTATTAATATCCAACTGCTGAATATCCCAATCATATGTGATAGCAAGACTAACACAACACGAATGGTAGCTGATTTAATAACAGGACTGAAAGTTTCAAGATAGTCAACTCCAGGGGTTTGTTGGAAACCTTTTGCAACTAACCTTGCCTTAAACCGTTGAATGGAACCATCTGAATTATGTTTCACCCGAAAAAAAAACCACTTACAGCTATATATTCATGTTAGGTTCAGTAGGGACAAGTTCCACAGTATTGTTGGATTGAAGGCATCAAACTCACTTTGCATGGCAGCTTTCCAGGAAGGATGTTGAGAGCTTCATAGACACTGTAGGTTAGTTGAATTAGGAGAGGAAGATGAGACTGGGGAGAGGTTATCATGGAACTATGAATTTTGGCCTTGGACTCAGTTAGCATAGGATGAATGTTGCAGAGTGGGAGTTAAAAGGCAGTTCTACTGTGAGATTTATCCTTTCAATGTATCAGTTTGGTGAGATGGATGAGAGGGCTGTGAGGACTGAGGGTCAAAAGGAGATCAACTATCAAATGAATATTTTTAGAAGAGGTATCTAAGGAAGGTGAGCTGTTGGAGACTGATCAGATTGTGAGGTAGACTTTGTAGGGCTTGGATTAGAAATAGAAGGCTGAGTATTTGTAGGTGGACTGTGATTCAGATCAGAACAGGGTAGGGAGTTAACGTAGGAGAGGACAGAGGAGGTACAGACTTGGTGTTTTCTGATAAAGGGCAGGAAGTGGACACTTGAATTTGCTGATCACATGTAGGTAAGACAGTGGGTATAAGAAAGAATTAGGAAAAATAGAACAGGACCTGGTGGGGATGACAAAGAAGAATTATTTGGTGATAAAGAAGAGATATTGTGATTAAAAGGAAATGTAGACTCATCCAATTTAGCACTAGAGCAGATATAAATCTTTCCATTTGAATCCATACACTTGTATCCCTTGTGATGCATACTAAAACCAATAAAGGTGCATTGAGTTGTATGAAATGCAAAATATGATAGTTATAGGGTCGAATGAATGGGTAGACTGCACAACCAAACACTTTAATAACAGAATATCTGGGTTTGTCTAAACAGAACCTGAAAGGGGGAAGAATTGGATAGGACAGGGGTAGGTAACCTGTTGTGAGATAAGTTGCTGTTTGAAAAGCATGCCAGTACTTTAAAGGCATGCTGGCTTGAGCTAATAAGGTAACCCTTGCTCAACTATTGCCTATGTTTTCGCTCAACCCTTCCATTATGTTGATGTGTATATGGACAAGGATGTCTAACAAAAATACCGTGAGTGGCAAAATAAGATGTTAGACTTCTAAACCTACCCCCCAATCTGTTTGGACACTCTTTAGGGGGCTTATTAAACTGTCTCTACAAGCTTATGAAACTGCTGAAAAATCAAGCTTGTTTCAGATTTAGCTTTTAAGGGGAATATCAGGTGAACCTGCTATATCATCTAAAACTGGATATATATTAAACCTTCAGGAGATGAGATGGGTGCTGGTCCCCAAAGGTCTGAATGAACTAATTCTAAGGTTGAGAAGCTCTAGAAGCTGATCTAGGAAATGTAGACTGATGTAGTTTTCCAAATTGACAGGTGTGCCGAATTCTAAAGAGCCTGAACTGAGTTATTAGGGTTTAAAGAACTTAGGACTTTGTTAAGAACAGTAGCATTAGGGTGCCCATATCGTTTATGCAAACATGCAACTTGTTTTTTCTACTGGAAATGATTGAAAAAGTTATCTTTATAGTAATAGCAGCATCATTACAAGCAGATACAAGATTGGACTGACTGAATATATCTGAACCAGTATTAACAGAGACTGAACTAACAACATTATTTTTAACAGAAACTGAACTATTATTAAAAATCTATATCAGTAGCAGCAGTGTTTGACGATTGTGAGTACCGTAAGGAAGATTGCTCAAGATGCAATGGACTTGAAGTCTTGGCAAGTGTGTTGAAAGCTGAAGTGGAAGAGATAGACTGACCAGAAGACAGATTTGAGTTTGGAGGATGTACTGGTTGACGTTTGAAGTTGGTATAGGCCAGCTTTAAGCTTTCCTTGAAGAAGAATAGCTTTGGAGTGCTTGTCCTTTACCACACAGTGATCAGCAAAGAATTCAACAATGACATTATTTTCTTTTGTGATTTTGAGATAATAAGTTTTTGGTAATAGAAGGCACACATAACACATTTTTTAATGAAGAGATCTAGATGGACATGAAAAGGAAGTAAAACCAGTGTGAGAGATAGGAGAAGCTCACCATTTCAACCTGAGCTGCTCATTGCCAGTGTAGTTTGAATTCAGTGTGAGTTGAGAAATATCAGAGGTTACATGGTCTGTTGCTCCAGAATCATGTACCATGAAACATCTTGAACTGTGGCTGGAGTGGCAGTGTAATGTGCAACTGGATTAGGACCAGGAGAGGTATGTGTTTGAGACAGAAGTGCTTGATTTGAGGATTATTCATAGGTGGTTGAGATTGCACTGAGACTGACTGAGAATTGTTTGTAAACCCAATGGATTAGCCTTCGAATGTTGGTGAAGTCAAGTTGAGAATGCATAGGTTGATGTGAACTAGAGGAGTCATAGGATTATTGGAAGTGTAGAATGAGGGCTGAAAACTTTCTGGTGTTCTGATATAGTGCTGATGAGAAAACTGATTTCTGCCTGATACATTATTAGCTCCAGTGAAATTAGCATCAAATCTGTGGTAGCAGTTTATGCTAAGTGACCATTTTTTCCACAAACCTGACATACCAACCTGTTTCTTCCAAATCCCTGCCTCTACCTCGGCCACCCCCAAATGTTGGAGAATAGGATGGGTTAAAAGTGAATGGGTTGACAGGGTGATTAGGATTAGGAATGGATTGTAAAGGAATGTATGGATGAGGTGAACCCATGATGAAAGGTTGGACTAGAAACTTGAGACTGTCCAAAACCAGATCCAAATCAGATTGTTCAGAACTGAACTTAGAGTGCAGATCATTTTGAAGTTTCTATCTGTTTTTTGAAGAGACATTTGCAAGATGTACTGACCCCCCACTAAACTCAGTGTTGATGACAGAATTCAGAGAGATTTGCTTTTTCTAACTAAGTTCATATTTCTGGAGAATGATTTGTGCTCTGAATTGTTAGAGGATCTAAACGGGACTCTAATCTGGTGGTTATATTCACTATAGCTGGATCATATTCAGCGGTAATCCATCAAGTATATAATCAAAAGTTCCTCATCAGTCACAATAATTCACTACCAGACAACACCTCAGCAAATCCTTTTATTTTGACAAAATACTCATGCATATTTAGACTGTCTTTTAGTATTTTGCAGCAAATTCTTAATATGCAGAGTTTTGGTCTAGACTCAGTAAGAAACTCTTTTTCTAGGGTTATCACATATCAGCCGAAAACTGACACTTTGAGAATACATTAAACATGGATTCAGAAATTGAGCTAAGAAGCCAGCTTACAAGTAGTTTGTCGGTTTCTTCCACTGATTGTACTCTGGATTGGTTCTTTTCTCTACAGTTCCTTCCGAGTTTTCAGTTTGAATCTTGACAAATGGAGCTGGGCATGATACTAGTCCAGTAAGATGTTCTTCTAAATCGTGAGATCCAACTGCGAATAGAATCTGTGACTTCCAAAATCTGTAGTTATCTCTCGTTAGTTTAGGAGAAATAACAGGAAGAGTTGAATAGACCATTGATGATGAATTCATACAATCGACTGAACCAGTAGGTACTTTGTGAGCTGAATTAACTGAATTGGAGGAGAAGTGTGTCAAATCAACCAT